AGAACTTAAATAGCTTTAGAAATAAAAGTACCTGTGATATGGTAAGAAAACTTGGTTTATCTGGTCATGTCTAAACCAGCATCTGTGGGGAGAAGGGACCGCAGGAGTAATATACAACGCAAGCATTTAAACTCCAGCAGAATTTTGTGGAAGAGGATATTTAGAACCATTTTCTGTGGGTCAGGCCCCTGTTGTCCTCTTCATGAGAAGAGATTAATCATAAAGCAGAAAATGTCCCTTCAGAAGCTTCAGGGTTTAAATTGCAGGGCTGAAGCAAGTTGAGTGACAATCAGAACTTTTTTTCTGACAGTAGAAAAGCAACGCCTCCAGATTAAAGAAGAAACAGCCTTTCACATGCCATACTAACCAAGGCTCAGCACTGGATTTACAAAAGCACTGCAGCAGGATCTGTCCAACCTGCAGCAAAGCGTATTTCATAATCTCACGATGAACCAAGGCTGCTTGAACTGCTCTGCCCCTATCTCTTTAGCCGTGTTCTTAAACAGCTGTAAGGCCTTTGGGATTATGCAAAAGCTAATAGCCAAAATAACTTCTTTATTTGTTTGAGAAAGGGGTAAACGAAGACTGGAACAGTGCTTCCTAAACCAGGTTCTGGAAAGCCTTTCCACTCAATGTGCTGTCCCTGACCCAGCAGTATGCTCAAATTTCCCTATGCATTAAAAAAAAAAAAAAAAAAAAGCAAAGGTTTCCTGAAGACATGCAGATTCAATCAGCAGATCTAGAGCCTAAGATCTTACATTTCTAACTATGTTTTAGTCAATGCTCACTCTACTCGTGCCATGGTCCAGAATAGCCCTCACCTAGGAGCCCTTTAGGAAATACAGAATCTCTATCCTCTCCTCAAACCTATTGAACCAACTCTGCATTTCAGCAAGATTCCAGTGACTTAAATGCACATAAAAATGTGAGAAATGCTGCTCTAGAACACATGTGAACCAATCTCCCCAAAGCTTGATTGCATATCCCCTACTTGCTCTCAGTTGTTGCTTCTGTCATCCAAAGAGTCCTAAAATACAAGTTATTATGCTGTCACAGACTCTAATGGCAACCTGACCATATTCCTTCTCGTTCCTTTGCCATTTTCACACACAACCCCTTGGTGGGCTTTCACTCTCAGCAGTCAATACCTGTATCTCTTTATTGGTTCCTCCTTGTGGAAGCTGGAACCCACTTCACTAGCAAAGAGACCAGGAAGTACCTGGGTACTGCTCATCCTCTTCTTGCACCGCTTAACTAAGACGAATAGTCACAGAGATTTCCATACTCCAACTCCCTCCTTGCTGATCAGAAAACTCAACTTTAAGGTGTAGTCTATACAAGAAGGGATTAAGCTAATGTCACCAGTTGTGAAACCTCACTTGGCATTTCACCCTTCTGCCTCTTCTTATCTGAGCCTAGCTCTCTCCTTTATTATTCTTGGCAGGGAACACTTTGTAATGAACTCAATCTTCATAAATTCTTGTCTTGGAGTCTACTTTGGGGAAAAGCAAAGTAAGGCACATGCTGTTTCAATGTATAGCTCAGCACCCAGTCAAGAGTTTGAGTTATTTGTCTGAATCTGTGATGCACCGTGGGATGACATGAGTATCAAAAATGGCTGTAGAAAGCCTTTGGGTTACAGGAATTCATGTGATCACATTCTGAAAACATGATTAAAATTAATTATGCTTTACTTTCTGAATGAGCTAACTGTGGCTGTACAGTGAAAACGGTGATGATGTTCTCCTTCAGCTAACCTTATGAAGGACCCATGGAAATATCCAAAGATGTAGAAGACCTATACTGACCAATGTCCGTATATGGCAGCCACAGACATATTTGGCTATTGAGCATTTGAAATAATGGCTAATACAAATCGAGATAGTTTGTGAAGCATAAAATCCACACCTGATTTTACAGATTTGCCATGTCAGAAGAATGCAAACTATCTCAATAAATTTTGAATTGATTATATGACAAATACAGGTTGTGCTATCCCTTATCCAAAATTCTTAGGACCAGAAGTGCTGATCCCATATTTTTTCCTGATTTTAGAATATTTGCCTATACATAACTAGAAATCTTGGGGATGGAACCAAGTCTAAGCACAAAATTTATGTTTTAGTTATGTTTCATAATTACCTTATATACATGGTCTGAAGGTAATTCCATACTATATTTTTATTAAAACTGCATTTTAAGGGGGGATGGGACTGAGGTTCAAACTTAAGTCTTTGCATTTGCAAAACAGGCACTCAACCACTTGAGCCACACCTTCAGCCCATTTTTCTCTGATTATTTTGGAGATGAGGTCTCAGCAGTCTGGGCTGGTCTTGAACCACAATCCTACTGATCTCAGCTTCCTAAGAAGCTAGGATTACAGGCCTGAGTTACTGATGCCAGCTGCATTTGCATTATAACAGCAACCTATCACATGCGGTCAGATGAATTTTCTACTTGTGGTACCACAGAGGTGCTCAAAAAGTTTGAATTTTTGACTTTCAGATAAGGACTCCTCAAAAATAATAATTTGAAATATTGGGATAGTTTTGTCTCTTTCTTTTTATTTTTAAAATATGGCTACTAGAAAATTTTGAATTACATATAGCTCACATTACATTTTTATTGTACTGGATATATTGAGGGTCTTAGCTTTCAACCTAAAAAGTCAGACTAAGTTAAATCTTCCAAAATGTTTATAATTCCTTCTGTACTTATTTCCAGCATGCAAACATACAAGACTGCACATTGACCTCATTTATAAACACTCTTACTGATACATAAGGTTGCCAAAGTACAGGAAATATCTAAAGTTCCACCCTTAAGCCCAGAAAATATTATATCAGAAACATATTTTTAACCCAGTGTCAGTACTTATTACTCAGTTTAAAACTATCTAATTTCAGGAAAATTAATTTCAAGCTGTTAAAAAACATTATTCTTATCTTTTCCTGTGGGTACATCAAGTTTAGTAGTTAATAGTTTTATTTTCCTCTCATAGGTATCCTATGTCTAAATCCTCTGCCAAGGGGGGAGAAATGAACCAAGCCTTGTATGCACATATGAATAATAAAAGAAAAAAAAAAAAGAGAGACACACCAGCTCTAAGAGTGAGTGAGCTGATATTTGACTCAAAAATAAAAAAATAAAATAAAATAAAATAAATCCTCTGCCAACAATCTATAGAGTTGGAGCTCAAGCCCTTAGTACTTCTCACCTAACTTTTGCAGCTTCCTAATTCAGTTCCTTCCTCCTGCATTTCTTAGCTTCAAATTCATCCTTGACATGACTGTCAGATAATCTTCCTAACGCACAGCCTGGCTCTCCTCACCTTGCAACTAAAAAAAAAAAAGGGCTTTTGGTGGGATCACATTTTTGCTCAGTTATCTCTAGATATCTGAACAGACAGACATTAAATGTTCTTCATACTCTGACCCCCAACTATACTTTGTTCTTGCAATCTCTTCTCTCTTTTCTAATTCCTATTAATTCCTATGCTTCCAGCTCCTCATGTTTTCTCACCTCTGGTTCTTCTACACTGTTTTCTCTACTAATGAATCCTTCTTTTCTTCCCATCACTGTAGTCCTCCTTCCATCCCATGCTTCCAGTTCCATAAAAATTATATTACCTACCAGAATATTGTCAGTGCCTTAAGTCCTAAAGAAAAAACACAAATTCACAAAAAAAGTCATATAACAGATCAGCAAATCAATTGTAGAAGTAACAAAACTAGGTGACAAGTCTGTCAAAATAAGTCATTATTTCACAACGAACACAAAGAAAGACTACAGGATTGGAAGAGAGCAAGAAAGGAACTATTATAAAGTAAAAAAAAAAAAAAGTGATCAAATGCCATAAGCAAATTCTCTCCTACCAACAAGTAAATATAAATGGATTAATTCTCTAGTCAAAAGACAAAAAATTGGCTAAATATATTTTTAAAACCAAGATCTAACAATATGCTCACAAGAGACTCACTTTTTTCTGAAGAACACACACAAACTGAGAGTAAAGAGATGAGAAAAGATACTTCAGGCAAATGCTGATCAAAAGAGACCAAGCATGACTATATGTGTATCAGACAAAACAGACTAAGTCAAAAACTGTTAAAAAGAAACAAACAAGGTCATTATGTTATGATAAGGGGCCAATTTATCAAGAAGATATAACATTTTAAAATATGTGAATAACCAACACTGGAGTACCTCGGTATATCTAGCAAATTTTAACAGATCTGAGGAGTGAGATGGACTGTGATGTCATAATATGGGACTACAAGATGTTAGTTCACTGAGGAGCGATCCAAACCCACTACACCGTATCAAATGATTAATTAGCTCACGTCATTTTTCACTTACAGTAAAACATACATTTTGGCCCAGAATCTTTATTTTGTGTTTAAAATTATTTCAGAATGAAGAATCAATATTCTTTTTAAAGACTTGCTAGTTTCTATTTTCTGGGAAGTCAAATGAGTGCTGTGAGGTGGGGATTAAGATTTGGAGAGTAGTGAGGGATGGCGGATTTGGAGAAGAGAGAGTACTGGGTACTGTTTGACATTGTGACTGTTTAGAGAAGTTCTAGAACTATGGTTATCTTTTAAAGATCCCTAGTATAGCTGCTTTGACATGGGTCTGCAGTTCTGTTGAAAATATATTTACTATATTTTAAACTTTTCTATTCATCCTTTCCTGTTCACAATTCAAGGAAAAGAGTTAAACGTGTTCAGTTAATGAAGACAGCACAGCAGTTTCCTATCAATAGAAATTTTTTAAAGCAGGAAAAAAAAACTTGTTTATGTGCAAAGAACATTTCCTTAGGAAAAGAGTATTCACTCAGGGATTTGAATTTAATTATATCATTTTTATCAAAAAAGGGTGTGGGGGGTGATTGTTGACCTTCAAATTGAATTAATTTGTCTTCCTGGAAGCCAAGCTAAAAGCATGTTTTATGACTGAGTAGTATGTAAGCTAATGCAAGTGTAATTTACATTTTTCAGGAATGGACAAATGAGGTTTTCAGTTTGGCCACAAACCTGCTGGCCCAAAACATGTCCAGGGATGCATTTCTGGAAAAAGCGTAAGTCACTCTAATTTTATTGCGAAGTGTGTTGCTACTTCTGAGTCAGTTTCCTTTCCCCTTTGTGAGTCTTTTGTTTATGCTGCACTGACTTCTCACATTAATAAACATAAATTTCCCTTTGGGATTTGTTAGAGAATTAATAACCCCACGGTTCAGAGATGGAAGACTTCCAAGAAAGATCGCTCTTTCCTCTGAGCTACACAGCCACATTCCGCCTGGGTTGAGCTCACCTGAAAGTTAATGCCTTTGACACGCAATAAGAAGAAACTTCCAAATCCCGGCAGCTGTGCTCAGAACTAGAAATGATCAATTTCGAGAATCTTCTGCTTCCTCATCTGCCTGTGTCCTCTCAGTTATTAATCTGAGGAAGAGAATGAACAGCATATGCTTCTCGTTTCTCTAGAGTCATAAATCTCTGATGGATGCTACAGTAACTTTCCAGCCTCCTTAGATCAATAGGCTTTATGTCCTGATTCTAGCCCTTGTAGACCATCATAGCAAATATTTGTAAGAAAGAGAAAGGATGCAGAGGAAAGAGCAAAAGGAAAAGGAGAAGGAAAGTAAAGCTAAACAAATTAGCAAATTGCTCTGGAATTGCAACAGCTTTTCTAAAAATTATCTGACCAAGGAAAATAATGACAAATACCAGATGAGCAACTGGGAAAGCTGGTTGTGCTCATTTTGGAAGCTGTGGTCGTTCAGAAGGTTGGGAAGTCTTTAAATCAAAACCACAAGCAGAAACATTAATAGGTGGTCTTGTTTTACTGAACAGATTTCTCTCTTTCCTCTGTGTTATGTAAGACAGCCATCATGCCAGACCTCATACTTCAGCTGCATTTCTTTTTTGCTCTTCTATGAATTCCTTTTACTTATAGTCACAAGTCTTCATTGAAATGCTTCTTTGTGGTGTCATCTCTCTTAAGTATGTTACCTTAAGGACCCCTCCTGCATGCCTCCACCTCCTTTCTTTCCTTTTCTTTTTTCCCATCTCTAATATCACCGTCTTTCATTCAACAAACGTTGCTAGAATGTCTGTTCTTCTGGGCAATGTTAATGGAAGGGGACATAGAAAGAAATAAGATGTTCTTCCTAAAGCACAGCATGTTACAGCTGGTTGACTGATCATTCTCTACTGCAAATGTGGGTTCTAGATAGTTGTCCCCTGTGATACCTGCTGTAGATCTTCCGGGCGTGTCTTGAGATGACCATATTGTGAACACTTCAGTTTCATGCTCACCTAGATATGAATGTCTGGGTCATAGTGTATGCAGTTCTCTAAAATAATATTCTTTCTTTGCACACCCATCAGCAATGAGTTGGAGTTCTGTTGCTCCATCTCTTTACCTGTGTCCATAAGCAGTTAAAGAGATAAATACAGTTGCTATATTCATATAGTGAGATTCCACAGAATGATAAGAATGAATAATCTACAACTAGCAGCAAAGTATGGATGGATCTCAAATATGTAACACTGAGTGAAAGAGGCCAGACACACAAAAATATATGATTTTATTTATGAAAGGTGAAAAAAATACAGGGAAAATGATCTGTGTCTTTTGACATCAGGATAACAGTTTCCTTTGCGGGATAGACACTGGAAGGGGGTCTGAGAGGGGCTGTTAGGTTGCTACTAATATGAGTTGCTACTTATTCTACTTCTTGATCTGGGTACCAATTTAGAGACAGGAGTTTGTGCAAATTCAGCAAACTGCATATAGGCATGGGTCCTTTTCTATGTATTTTATTCTTCAATAAAAAGGCTTTTTTTAAAAAAAATTAAACCCTCACCTTTCTGCTTCCCCAACAGTTATACTAAACTTAAGCTGCAAGTCACTCCAGAAGGACGTATTCCTCTCAAAAAGTAAGTTTCAAGAGCATTTCCTATTATTCGTTATCTTTTTCTCAGAGTTGAATGGGTGCCATGGCTCTGTTTTGTTTCTCCATCAGCTTAAGTGGGACCATGGAAACATATGGTAACCCCATCCTTCTTCATGCATGTCTCACGTCAGAGCAGCTGCTCTCCTCATTACATTTCCATGGGGCTGCCCTTTCCTGTGGCATCATTTTCAAGAAATGCTAAAGCAAGAAGTGGGTGGAGGGATAGGAAAGGAACCTCACTGGTAAACCCAGAAACCATCTGAGATTCTGTTGTAGGAGTACAAATTAAGTGACCCCTGTGCCTCTTCTTATCAATATGCCCCTAGCCTTAAGGCAGGATTTGTAAATCTGATGCCCATAGGACCAGGCAAAGAGCTTAAGTGACAAAGCAGGAACAAGAGGAGAAAGAAAATAAAAGAACAAAACCAGTCTAAGGGAGTCTCCAACTCACCTCCACCATGGTACCCTGTGGGATTGAGGAGCTCTGGAAACAAGATTTTCTAATGGTTCAAGAGAACACATATAAATTCAAATCATTACATTAAACTGTCTAGCCCTTCATTCTGTTTTTTTCTTTAAACCAATTAGGAACCAAAGAAAGTACATCTTTAGACCATCTTAGCTGAAAGTCTTTACAAACTACCAGCAAGCATCTGTGAATAAAAAAGTTAAATTATTGATAACATAACATGCACCATTGGAGCACCTTTGTTGCAAGAAGGAGACAAGGTTGGGAAGGTTGTTTATATTAGTGTTTAATATGACAGATTACTTAATGCAAAAGTTCTTTTTTAATTGGGTTGTCCCTATTGTCTCAGAATATTGATTTTATATTAAACAATATAAATTTTTTAAAGCACACACATAGATCAAGAACATAGATGCAGTCCAGGCGCTAGAAGCTCACACCTATAATCCTAGCTACTCAGGAGGCAGAGATCAGGAGGATAGTGGTTCAAAGCCACCCAGGGCAAATAGTTCACAAGACCCTGTGTCAAAAAACCCTCCACAAAAATAGAACTGGTGGAGTGGTTCATGATGAAGGTCTTGAGTTCAAGCCCCAATGCCACAAAAAATAAGAATAAAAAAAGAATACAGATGCCAATGTATGAAGGAATGGGCGAGTGGGCCTTTTTTCTTTCTTTAAAGATTTGTCATGGATAGGTTTGATTCAATGGGATGTTTTAAGTTGGCTTCATCTGTAAGCAATGTGATCTGTACGCCTTTCAAACAGCACTCATGTATGTGTTTTCACTTCACAGCATATATCGCTTGTTTTCAGCAGACCGGAAGCGAGTTGAAACTGCATTAGAGGCTTGTAGTCTTCCATCTTCAAGGGTGAGCATGTTGCCTTACAAATAACAGCACTGCACAATAACTTTTAAGAGTGCACACAAAATACACAGCAACCCAATGTTACCTAGACATAATTTTATATATCAAGAAAGCCAAAATTTACCTGTTAATCTCATATAAGAAAAATTCCCATAACCCTAACATTCCAATGTAGAATGGCCCTTGCTTTTTACAGATTAAAAATCAGTAATGGGGCTGGCTAAGTGGTAGAGCAAGTGCTCAGCATGTGAGAGGACTGAGTTTGACCCCCAGCACTGCAAAAAAAAAGAAGGAAGAAGGGAAAGAAGGGAGGGAGGGAAGAGGGACTGAGGGAGGGAGAGAGGAAAGAAGAGCCAATCAACAATATAAAAAAAACAAATAAGGGTCAACATTGTCAAGAAGACAATTTTAAATTTGGATTCAAACCTATCATTAATAATAAGCACTTACTTGATATTAGCTGAAGATAGTGTAAAGCTGTTATGTTTAGAAAGGTATTTTAAATACTAATTTCATATTATACTTTTTAAATTTCTAGTTTTAAGATTTATAAATCACACACACAATTAGTACAGTAGTGCATATTTATAAATAAATACTCTACAGGGCTGTGCTCAAAAGGAGGATACAGGAGCAAAGCGATTTAGACATCACACACTTTGCTCATAGGTGATAAAGTAAGGGAGAGGACAAGCATGTAACATGCACATTTTTTGTACTTAGCACACATAAGGCACTCCATATATGTTAACCACTAGAATGAGATAATTACCCTTATTTCAACTCATTTCTATATAACTGACTCTAAAATGGTATGTTGCCATTGCTTCTGGGAGAACAGTCTACTGCATAAACCCTGTTTCTCATGCTGTATACAGAGCTCTCCTTTCTGTTCCAAATTATTTTTATCCTAGTATCTAAGCAACAAGTAAGCACTTACCTAAGGACAACACTGACTTTATAGACAGAAACTCTGAGCTTCCTGAAACATGCTAGAAATGTTCAAGTTGCACTGAATGAAATTGTAAATCCACTCTTATCTTGTGACTGAATTATTTAAAAGTACTGAGTGCTATTTATTACATTCATCAGTCAATTTTGGTTGTGAATACTTTTTCAAAAAAGAGATTGAAGTTTATAAACGACTTTGGTAGATCGCTGGGAAAAGAAAGACTTCTCTAATACCACTTTTCCTTTGTAAACAGAAAAGGCTGGTGATGCTGCAAAAACTAGATAGAACTGGGCAAAGACTTCACAAAACATTTTTCCCTTCACTTTCTTTTCTATTTTGGCAGTGCTGGGGATCAAACCCAGAGCCTTAGCATGCCATGCAAGCCCTCTACAACTGAGCTACATTGACAGCCCTTTCCTTCCATTTTAATAAGCAAAATAAAATTAACTTTCTTATTATTGCTCTTCTGCTAGTGCTTTGGAGTAGAAAAGATAAAACAATGAAGGTCCTGTCATTGATTCAATAAATATTTCTTGAGCTCTTACTACTTGTCCACAGTCATTGAGAATATGTTGGTAAAAACAAAATGAACTCCAGGGCATCAGGACTACGAAGTCTTCTGGGGGAACTAGTCAATAAACACATCAACAAATGCTTTGGTAAATTGGAAGGAGTGCTATTTTAAAAAAAGAAGAAGAAGGAAAGAAAAGAATGTAGTGCTGCCATTGAGAATAAGGGAAGTTCATTCCAGAAAAAGAAATCAGTGTGCACAAAGCCCTGAGGCTAGAAGAGTTTACTGGGTTTGATCAACTGAGAAAAGACCATTACCTTTAAGAATAAAGAAAAGGTGTAAGAGATGGGTTTACAGAGATATGCAGAGAATTTTTTGCCTTTGTAATCATTTCTGATTTTATCTTTCCAAGATAATACCTTGTAAAATACAATGACCAAAAATTTTAACTTAGAATTATACATCTAGCTGAGGGAAAGAATGAACAGAAAATGAAGCTGGATAAAAAAAAATCAAATCCATCAATCAATTCTCTGTAAATTGCAATTTTCTAAACAATTGAAGTCTGACAATTCAGTCAATAAACATAAATTGAATCTTTAGAATCTACTATATCTATTATAGGTTCAAACTTTCAGCCCAATATCAACTGGAGACATATTAGATGGAAAATGAGATTCAAATAGCAGGAGTTAGGTTTAAATTGGAAAAAAATACTTATCTTTAGCAAATTAAGTGTAATGGCAATTTTCTAAAGGCAAACTGATGAAAGTATTTAAAAAATACAATAAACTCCCATCATAGTTTGGAAAGATCATTATTCACAGTAAAATATAATTTACTTGAAGGTTTTGCAGAATTAGATGTTTTTTTACAAACATCCAAAAAACAAAGACAGTTTCAGAGCCAGAAAGTAAATGTTTCTGTGAACTGCCTATGGCATATCAAAACTATATTTTAAATCCTGTTTTATTTTCATATCTATACAACAGAGAATGTAGAAAATAGTTATTCACTAGCTGAAAGATTCTGAATATATTAACAAGCAGTATTTTAAACATTCCACAAAGAAAAGGATTATATAAATGGTAGCTAGTTATGCATAAATAGGATCCTGTTTCATAGCCAGACATCATTCAAACTAGATTTGATTGTGTTCTGAAAATAGATATGTTACCAGAAACACAGTGGATATCCTGTTGAGATTTTTAAAACATTATCTTTGTGCACATTGTTAGGGATAATTAATGCACTTGAACTTGTACCCTGGCTGACACGATCCATTGGAATAACATTTTCCTGTAGAGGTTACTCCTTTGGAGATTACATTTGTTAGCCTCAAGTTACCCTAATTGCTAAAAAGTAGTACTATCCCTGAAAGAGAGACGAAGCAATTACTGTCCTTCTATTAATAACCCAAACATATTTTCCAGTGAGACCTTTGAAAACCTTTCCATATTGAGAAAATTATTACTCTACCCACAAGCTTTCTGAGAACTGAAAATAATTTATTTGTACTAAACTCCCTTGATTTAAGGCTTATTAACTTGAAAAGAAGTTGGTAACATTTGAAATTGTATTGTAGTCTTGCCATAACTTTGACCTATGGGGTTGCCTTTTAATGAAGAAGATAAGAAATCTGTGTGTTTGTTTTAAATTTAAGAATTTGCTATAGCAGCTAGGCGTATGTATAATACATGGGGAAACTAATTTTTTTTTAAATAGTACTATACATTTTGATAAGGAATAGTGTGAATAAATTGACAAAACAACTTCTCTGTATAACTAGTTTGCTGCCTTTCTTTTATGCTTTACATCCTGAAAATAAATCAGAAACAATTAGTTTTGCATTTGTGATTCTTAAAGTCACTAGTATCAAAATTCTACTCTAAAACCACATTAAGTACACAGCACATTAGAAGTGATTTACTTGTAATTATTTCATGGACTATAATTAATTCAACTTCTGGTTTATGGTTTTAAAACAAAAATATTGAAAGTTGGTTGAATTTCTGAATTTACTGGGAAACAATTCATGGCCCATCAAGAAAAAAGTCTACATATGGACTCTAGTCATTAGAGTTTGCTTCAAAAAATAGAGTTTTAAATATGCTAATACTTTATTGTTTGTGCAATAAATGGGCCTGATTCAGATTACACTACTTCAGATTATACTGACCTTCTTAATTTGCCCTTCAAAAAATTCAAGTAAAGCAGGCATGATAGATCAGTCCTGTAATCCCAATACTCAGGAGACTGAGGCAGGAAGATCTCACATTTGAGGTCAGCCAGGTCTATCTCAAAAAAAGAAAAGAAAAGAAAAGAAAATTCAAGTAATGATAGCAACAAATAATCACTGACATTCTATTTTATGGCAGGTGCCTGAGGTAATAGACCAACTCTTGGATTACAACACAAGATCTAAGGTCTAGCCCAGTCTCCTGGATTCACCAGCAGACATTGTTTAGGTTGTATGCCAGGCACACAAAGGGATTAAGTAAGAAGCTGTCACTTCAATCAAAAACTCACAGTCTAGTAGAAAACTAGAATTATAAATGGAAAGTTGTGTGATTGAAACTATTATGAAGGTATATAAAACAAAGGTAACAAAGGTGGACTGTGGACACAAAGAAAAACTGTGTCATTGCTAGCTCATGTGGTCAGGAAAGGGTTCCCAGAAACATACCTACACATTGGACATGATTTTTGTAGTGTTGATCAGGCTTCCTTCTAGACAAATAGGAAAAATGACTTGTGCCATCCACTTAGTCTTGAGATCCTGGAAAAGAATGTATGAGAATGAGCTTTGTGAATTTCAGCCTCATGTAAAATGTAAGGAATTAAGAATCACCCATAGCTTTTCCCTAAATATCTTCCTTGCACTTTAGCTTTCACTGATACTTATTTTTACTCCTTCTTATAAAATATCTCTCTCCCATTTTCACCCACTGACCACAAAGACTTTTGGGTGTTGTCATCTGTCATGTTGGGCAAGAAAATGATGAGAAAAGAAATAAAGCTTAAAAAAAATCAGCTTTATTAAAATATTTTGCAATTAAAATAATGTATTTATTCAGATTATCTCATTAGATTGTCCACTTTAATAGAAAGTCTAAAAACCCAGCTGGCAAATGGTTAGGTTTTAGTAAAGCATATCATTCCATGAAAGTATGTGTCTGAACTGTTGTGTAAATGACTTTAGTAAAATCTGATATTCCACAGAAAATAAAATATACACAAGTTCTTGCAGTCAATTGCCACCAATCTCATAAATTGCATTCATTCATTTAATAAATATGTACTGCACACTTGCTATGTTGCACACTGGAAATATGATAGTTAACAAGCGATACACATATCATAACTAGTGTATATCTGTAAGTAAGCAAAGAATAGGCAGAATTCTACAGCCAAGAGTGCAATACAGTTAAATGAGTGCTGAAATATGAGAGAAGTGAGGTGCAATAGGAGAATAAATTCAAGATTAAACCCAATCTAGGGGGAAGGCAGGCTGTCCAGAGGAAGAGACTCTAAACTAACAGAAGAAGGAAGAAGCAAGAGGTCAGTAAGAGAAGGAAGACAATTATTGGTACCATTAATTAAAAATAATTTATGTGTGTGCTGGGTAGGGTTAGAGGGAGGTGGAGTGAGTTGGATGTAGTCAAGAAAATGGGAGAACACCATGAGGTTCATAAAATTCAATGAAGTTAGATGCACTTGAGTTGGTCACAAGTGTCAGTGAGTATTTTTCTGCAATTGATTTTTAAATCTTCCTCTTCCCTATGTCCTCATAGCAAAGAGTGAGAGATACAGAGTCTTTTCTGGCTTTTTAAAAGAGAGGCATCGTCTAGCAAATAGCTTTTTTATAAATCAAATTGAATTTTGGAAACGTGTTTATAAATTCTATGTGTCCCCATTTTTACTGGCAAAACATCAGCAAAACAATCCATGAAAGTTTCTCATTCTTGGATTTGATCCCTTGTGCTCATGACTTGAAAGCTTGTGTCCAAATAGCCTAAGGTTTATTTAAATTAGTGCATATTAATTGTAAAAGGGTTTCATTATAATAGTTCCATACATGATAAAATGTGCATTTTGATCAAATTCACCCTCTCCATTCCTCCAACTCTCCCTCTGTTAGCAAATTGTTGATGGGTTTTGTACTTCTGTTTTCACACAAGCATATAAATGCAAGTAGCCTAAGACTAATGGCAGCAAGTATCTCTCCATGTTAAGTTACTCATGTGTTGTTTGGTTTTCTTGAAATTTATTTTGCAAAAAGATGTTTTTCCTGCTCTTTAAGTGAATTTAGTAAAGGAAAATATTACTTCATTCATTAATTCCACAAATATGGGTCTTTTGTTATCTCCTAAGTGGTGAGCTAAATTTTCTAATCTCTTAGTAAGCAGTATACAATTTCAGACAATAAATCAATGACTTTTGGAAATTTCTATAAAAGTACAGTTCAAAACCTATGAATATTCTAAAAGGAAGGGCGTTTTCTTTGGTTTAGGGTCTCAAAAGTAAAAATAATCATATAAACACATACCTGAAATAGGAAAAGTGCGTGAAATATGTTCTTCCTGTTAACAAAGGCTTGAATACATACTTCCGGTTTCCATGGCAGCCCAACCAAACAGAAAACATAAGCCATAGAAGTGGTGTTTGACTTGCTTTTCAAACAATAGAACCAGGAGCAATCAGTGACAAATAATGACTGATGCTGTCCTACTTATGAAAACTGCTTTACAACTTATCAGATTATTTAAACCAGAGGGAACATTGTTTGAAAAAAAAAAGAGTCAAAATTAGAATTTATGTTTTCATTTTGACAATGTCTGTCTCTAGGGTCATCACTTTAAAAAATATTCATTCAATAGCCTGACAAAAAACACAACAATGAGCATATATTTCATGCCACTGATCTGCAAACTTAAAAATGGCTAAAGTGGTAAATTTCACATTATGTATACCTTACCTCAGTTTTACAAAGCAAAAGATTCAAGCCAGGAAAAAAAGGAAAAAAGAAGAAGGCTAAAAATTCCTGCTAAACAGATCCTGTCTTTCTTCGGTCTAACTTATTTTAATAAATGCACTTAGGAAATTACCTTAACATCCCTTCAGCAGGAGAAAATTACTAGGCTTACATTAAAATTCAAAAGCAACAAAAATAAGGATTTTGACAACATGAAGTCAGTGTCCATATGAACTTTACAGTGGCCTCATAGATGTCTTTGGAATGTTTACCCTGACATCCCTCATGGGGTGACAGAGGGAGGGAGGGAGGGAGGGAAGGACAAAGGGAGAAGCAGGAGAGGGAGGGAAAATGGAAGAAGGAAGAAAAGATATAGAAAGAACAATCAGGGAAGGAGAATGTTAGAGAAAGAAAGAGACCATTTGCTGATCCTGTTGTTTTATTTCCCAGAATGACTCAATACCTCAAGAGGATTTCACTCCAGATGTGTACAGAGTTTTCCTGAACAACCTTTGCCCCCGACCTGAAATTGATAACATCTTTTCTGAATTGTAAGATAATCCATTTTAATCCACTTCTTTTTCAGCTTTCACTTATACTTGGGGTGGTTAGGGCAGAAGTTTGAACAGCACTAGAGGGAGATGGATGAACACTACACACCATGTCTAAGATCAATGCTTCCAGGTGATGTGTTGGACGTGGTCACACAGTCTTGGATCTGAGATGCAACCACTGCTATTGATGGGCAAATGTTTACTATGATTTACTGCTAGCTGTCATGCTTTAGTATGCTCAGGTGGCTCTGTGGGGTTTGAAGACCATAGCTAAAATAGGAAGGCATGTTGTTCTTAAAGGAAATAGACTCGTGTAGCAGAATTATTTCTCATTTCGTCTCTTTGAATCAAATTAGTGGAATTAAAGTTTGGATTATTAAGAACCTTTCTACCAGGAAAATTATTTTCTTTTAAGTTAGATATTATAAATTTATGGAGTCAGACATGGTGGCAAACATCTGTAATCCCAGCTATTCATGAGGCAGAGATCACAGGATTGTGGTCTGGTGCCAACCCTTTGGGATAAAGCACAAAAATCTAACTAAAAAATAACTAATGCAAAAAAAGGGCTGGGATGTGGCTTAAGTGGTAGCATACCTGCCTAGCATGTGCAAGGCTCCAAGTTCAAACCCCAGCAACACCAAAAAAAGAAGAAGAAGAAGAAGAAGTTATAAACTCTTATATAGTCATGATTTTTTTAAGAAGATTGAAAACAAAAGAAACAAATCAAAATGTCAAGGCATATGTGGGGAAGTAGCAATTTACCTTTCTTGTATTAGAATTCATATAATGACTGAAAAGCAATCTGGAATTGATAAAGAGGAATATAGGCAAATGGTGCTGTTGAGAATGGTATCACACATTGAATATATTTTTCTTTGTGATGTTCACTGCCAGGAAATACTTATTTACCATCTGCAGTGGTTATTTACCATTGAACTTACCTTTAGGCCATTGAACTTACCTTTAGGCCATGAATAAAATTGAAATGGGTAATTTGAATTGCACTACTTTGAGGAAACCATACACTACTCTTCTGAAGCCATAACTTTAATGAAATGAATAATGCACCTAAGTAGGTTGTTTACTTTTAAAGTCATGAGTAATAAATACATCTTCAAATGACTAAGTGGGATATGGCAGTTTGATGACTAAATCATAATTTTAGTGTTATAATAAAAAAACAGTGCAGTGGCTCTACCTATAATCCCATCAACTAAGAAGGCAGAGACTGTGAAGACAACTATTACAGGCCAACCCAGCAAAAAGTGAATGAGATCCCATCTCAATTAATAAACCAGGTATGGTAGCATCCACTGTGATCCCAGCTACTTGGAAGGCATAGGTAGGAAGATCACAGTCCAGGTCAGCCCCACGTAAGACCCTACCAGAAAAATAACAAAAGCAAACAAACAAACAAACAGAGCTGGAGGCCTGGCTCAAGTTGTAGAGCACCTGCCTAGCAATCACATGGCCCTAAATTCAAAACCCCGGTACCCCCCCACAAAAAAAAATCAGAAAACAATCCACACTTCTGTGTTCAAGTTAGAGTGCATCTTGCACATACCATGCAGTGTTTTCTAACTGTGGATTTTCTTAGGCATCTGATACAGTTCATGGGTATTGGAATTTAGTAATAGTGATTACAAAAAGTAATGTGTAGCCCACAGAGATGCAGAAACTATGGTGGAGCAGCATCATATTTATAGGGCAAGGTAAGAATTTCAATGTAATATATGTTTTTCAAGTATGGTAGAATCTTGTTCTCCTGTAGCTAAATGCATAAATAAGTCTTGGTAGAAAAATATTGTAATTTCTTGGGTTTTATAAATTGTTTTTAGTGGTGCCAAAAGCAAACCATACCTTACTGTTGATCAGATGATGGATTTTATCAACCTTAAGCAGCGAGATCCCCGGCTAAATGAAATACTTTACCCACCTCTGAAACAAGAGCAAGTCCAAGTATTGATTGAGAAGTATGAACCCAACAACAGCCTCGCCAAAAAAGGTTAGTAAACTTGTTTCATTTCAGCAAGAAGCTTTTGTTTCCAGCTGTGAATGGGTCACACTGGTATTTACGGACATCAGAGTTTGTTTAGGTCAGTTTTCCCTATTTGTATGCTTGCTTTCCTTTCTGTATGAAATCACTGCTGACTTAGCCCAAAGGAAATTTGTAGTGTAGTGCAAAAAATATGTAAGTCCAAAAATTAATATCAGAAAGGCAGTTCTAAGTTGCTTGAAAGTTATTGATAAATTTATATTTTTTATTCTAGAGAAATTAATTGCCAAAATATCATGAGAACTAATTACTGGGAGCTTTCAATTATTTGTGACAGTATTGTCTCCAAACAAGACTGTTTCAATCCAGAGGACTAAGTCTCATCTGTATTGAAATGTCTTCACTTAGAACATTGGTGTGTTATAACTGATATTATTGAAAATTGTCTAGGTGAGGAAACAAAGTATTATTGAGAAATATTGCATGATAATATGTGGGCAATTTATATAGCAACAGAGATAGCTTTAGCAAGCTTATAAAATAGTTATCATAAAAGTAGATTTAAAAGTCTCATCACTCATTGTACTTATTCTAGAAATGGCCCTCTAAATAGAAAATGAATGGATGTATTAAGAATAAAATAGTATCTTACTTCTTCTACGCATCATGAATTGTGAATTTACAGATGATATTTTTAAATTCTGTTTATTTTATTGGTCAAGTACTTTGCTTTTATTTCTGTTATTTTTCTTATTATTGGTGTGGAGGTGATATTGGTCAAAGGAGGCAACTTGCCCAACAGTGTCCTACCATAGGCAGGCCTGCTCCTCCAACTCTACTTAAATATGATGCCTTTTCTTCCCTAATTGGCTCTTTGAATTCTCCTTATCATCAAGCAGGAAGCAACTGCTTGGAGAAGCTTTTGCCTACATAGCTTGGCATTTCCCTTTGAAATCAAAACTTCTCCAAAAACAACTAACACAGTGTTACAACAGATCTAGCATGACTTCTCAAAATGACTAGCCCATGACATAGTGAAAACAAAAGGCTTTTGTGAAACCAATGAGGCCTCCAAACCGTAGACTTTGCCCTTTTACCTCCCTTCCCGCCACATTGCTGATAGCTCACACTTCAGCAGGTTCATGATACCTCCGTACATCACTCACTGATGACTTAGATAAGTAGAAGGTACAAAGGAAAAACTGTGATAGTTTATTGTAAAAACCTATGATCCTAGAAAAACCAACGCTGATTCTGATGGAAATTAAGATGTTACCTCCTAGCATTTGCAAGATTATTTAATGCCATTTTGTAAGTGTAAAAAGTATGAACATCACAATCACAACAGACACACAAAATTTAGGTAGATTTTTAAATTCACTTTCTTTGATTTCCTATGACTTAATGATATTAGTCATGAGCCACTTGTAATCACTCTTAATCTCAATTATAGGGAGGCAACATAGAACATTGTTTCCACTCACAGTTTCAAAGCTGGGATCTACCTCACTTGTTACATGGTCTTGGTACTTAACTGCTCTGTGCCTTAAATACTTCAGAATTGAAGGGAAAGAAGTCTTGATTGGCTTGTGAATTTAGAAGTAAGAAATATTTGAAAAGCATTTATAAAGAAGAGTGTCTTCTGATTAGATCAGTGTTTACTCAATGTATTGAAGTGTAGTTTTAATTCTTTAGGTGTTTTCATCTATTTTTTTCTAGGAGATCACAAGATGTTGGAAAAAAGAGCCTTAGACTCTTTTTCCCCCCAGCATATACTCATGATGCAATATTTAATTTATTTAATATTTAATTAAGGTTTGAAAGTCTGATCTAATCACTGACATAAAGCACCCTGTGCCTCAGCTTATCACTTAAGAATGTCCCCTGGTGTTCTCCTCTCCGCCAAAAGCTTCCTCTAGCACCTTGGCAGGGCAGAGACTTTTGGAGTTCAAAATGTACATGTGGCGAGGACCAACTCCTACTAGCATAGGAGATATGCCTTCTGTCACCCCCACAGGACTCCAATGACACAGGTCTGGCTGGCTAGATCTGTTGCTCTGTTCCTTCCACATCTATAGGGAAGAAATTCACCTCTCCAGGAGTCAGCTAGTCTACTTATAAGACCTTAGTATGATCACTTCAACTCTAAGGCATGTACACAAAAAGAAACTTGTAATAATTGCCTTATCTTAAAGATAAAGTAAGATTATGCATTTTAACATTTAGCTCAGCACCCATTAGTCATTCCATAAATAACATAGATTATTATTATCATTATTTAAAGTAAGCCAAATACTGCTGGAGGGAGCACATGATCTCTGGGAATCTAGCCCTGTAAACTCAGGTTTACAACCAAACCTCCTTCACTCATTCATGATTTTGACATTCGATAAACTTTTAACAAGAAGCAAGAAGCAGTGGTCAGTGACAGACACAAAGATATAATCTATGCATCTGGGCTGGTAGTATGACCCAAGTGGTCAGAATGCCTGCCTAGCAAGCATGAGGTCCTGAGTTCAACCCCCACTGCTTCCAAAAATCTATGCATCTAAGGCTTGTACTCACCAAGTATGGTGGTGCATATCTGTAATCCCAGTACTCTTGAGGCTAAGACAGGAGGATCACAAGTTCAAGTCCACTATGGACTACATAGCAAGACCTTGTCTAAATAAACAAAGGAAAAGTACTTAAAGGCTGTCACTCTTTTTTAACAGTTATGGTATAAATATAATAATTATCACTGCTCAAATTCTAGTGTGCACAAGAATCACCTGTGGCCTTGTTAAAATGCAGATTCTAAAATCAACATTTCTAATAAGTTACTAGATGATGCTGACTCTGCTGGACCTGGGACCACACTGAAGTGCAGAGCTATGAGATACAGAGAAAGGGCAGTAAGCAGGAAGATGGAGAGATGTCCTGCTTGTAGGGAAGGTTCCAGAAGAGGTAACAGTCCAGCTAAATAATTTCAGTAGGGATGAATGCAAGATCATCTAGGGATAGAGGATTGTGTTCTTTTATGCATTCACTCATGTATTCAACAAATATTTTTAGAACATTCATATACTAAGCACCAAGGAAACTTAAAACAGAACTTTAAGATTCACCAACTAAATCTGAATATGAAAAGAATTAACCTAGAAGGTAACACACACGCACAGGAAATCAATGTGAGTCAATGCCCTGCATAGCTATCCTTATCTCAACCAGCAAAAACCCTTGTTCCTTCCTATTATGGCTTATACTCTCTCTACAACAAAATTAGAAATAAGGGCAAAATAGTTTCTGCTGGGTATTGAGGGGGTCAGGGGGAGAGGGAGGGGGCGGAGTGGGTGGTAAGGGAGGGGGTGGGGGCAGGGGGGAGAAATGATCCAAGCCTTGTATGCACATATGAATAAAAAAAAAATAAAATAAAATAAAAAATAAATCTGAATATAAGGACAGAAAATTACACTTAGACACAGGGCCACAACTATTGTTTTCCTAAATTTTCCATTAGCTTCCCAGAGTAAATCTTATTTTTCAATCACGGCATTTATTTCTTAACACAAAACCTTGAGTAAGAACATAACATTGAACCTGAGCTATTTTATACCAAGTCATTTGTTTGCTGCTTTTTCTGTGTTAATGCCAACAAAGAAGACTACAGAAGATTGTTTTCTTGTGTTAACTGTTATTTCATAGTCAAAAAGATAATGATTTTTAAATTTATTTGTAAAGCTGAGAAATTGCTGGATTGGACTGTAATTCCTTAGTAACTAAGAGTTTGAAATACTTTTTCTAAGGATGAAAATTGATTTTTACTTTTGTGTTCATAACAATTGATGTTTGACTTTATGATATTTTTTCAGAGCCTCCTTTTGGTGTCTTCTTTATGTATTTAGTAACTATGAGAAAACCTCAGCAAAGTACAATTTAGGAAAGCTTTTTCTGACTACACCATAATGCCTGGTATGGGTCTGCAAGGAAATGGCTTTCATTTATTAAGCAACTTTAAAAATGCACATTAACATTTTGCAAAGAGGCAAGCCAAGGCCCTGAGGTTAAATGACTTTCCTAAGAGTTGATACCAATGTGTACTTCAAAACACCAATTGTTACCTTTTAGTTAAGCAACTCACACATTTTAATCAACAAACACATATGGAAATAGGGAAGTTGAATATCACATTACAATTTTTGTCTGATACTTTCATTTTGACAAGTTCCTAAATGTGCCCAAGAATTAGTTAAAACGGTGTTGATCTCAGTATTGACCCACAAATGCAGTCTTATTCACCTGAGAAAGGCATTTTTATATTGCCTACATTTGTTATAAAATCAGAGGCATAAGATGCATACATAATATATATAACTTAAATATACATAGGCACATATATATGTAATCTGACACCAAGAAATATATTTTAATCTAGGTTTTGAATAAGCAAATAATACACAAAGCTGAAATATGTTTAGTTTTTATATATGCATTTCATATAATTTTTAAGTGAAATGAAGCATTTTCAATGTGACCAAAAGTCTAAATACTAATGCTGACTATTAGCTAGTTGACTAAATGTGTAACACACAAAAGTGAGAAATGAAAACCCAGAAGAGATGATGGACTTTGATGCATTGTGGGTCTGCTGTAGTTAGCATTTTGGTCACATTTCTAAACTGGAACTTCTATTTAGGGAGATGTGTGCATTGGTTATAAATAATTCTGTGCATCCTAAACCAAATAGTCACATATTTGGGTTCCACAAAGAGAGAATTTGAATCTTGTCATAGAGGATGCTATTCCCAAGGGAGTTTAGCTTGTTTTTACAACATTCAATCATACATTTAAAAATGCTACAGACCCAGTAAGCAAAGGTTTCTTCCTTGCCAAGTTGTTTGCTCTGTAGACTTTAATATGCTTGACACAGGACTTCACAATGACCCCTGCCTCTTCCAAACAAAAAGGTCATGAATGTCAAAGTTGAAGACTAATGGCTCCCAAACAGTTACTTTTTTAATAGCATATAC